AGAGGTTCAGGCGAATTGCCGTAACTTGTCGTAACATAATAAATTTATACGGCAAAAATGTTGTAACATAATAAAGTTACGGCAAAAATGTCGTAACTAATTATAATTATTACATATTACGGAGATAGTTACGACAAGTTACGGCAAAAGTCATGGCATCAATGGGACGATTCTCCTGCATCACTACTCCCTAGTGAACTTACCATTTTCATAATTATATTCCAGCCTGATAACATGCTCATAATGCTTTTCGTATCTAATTATTTTATCAGTAATTTTGCATACAAATTTACCTTACTATTTTTTCTGGGCTAAAATGATGTTGGCATGTTATCATTATCAAAGAATATAAATTTAAATATGCCTAATATTGGATTATGATTATGATTACGTAAATTATTCAGGAATTCTAATACTATTTCAATAATGTAACAACTCTTTCTTTAATTATAAAGTGGTTATCAATTTATCAGCCTGATAAAAAATTCGGCGAAACAGAAACAAAAATACCAAGAATCTAAAAACCAGGCATATTGAGTTAGATCACTCACGTAAATATTTAAGTCATTTTTTTTCTTTGTTTGCGATTACATTTGCAAAATTATATTGTTTACATCGTTTAGATCTGAGAAATTTTGTATAACTGCATACAGATAACGTAAAAGAACGCCGATGTATCACATACCATAGTGAACTATAAATAAAAGCATTTATATAACATATAGCGTTAATCCAAGTTGGCGTAGAGTTGACAGATCGAAAGACGCTAAGCAAGAGTATAATCTGAATGACTTTCACAAGCAGTACTGCAGTAATCACTAACTTAATAAAGGCGGCAATCAAAACGAAGTTAATCTCATGAGAAACACAATTGGATACTATCACGGCTTGGGGAGAGACTTATGTACTTCGTTGCCAGATTTAGTTTTAAGCCGTGAACATTAAAGTATTAAAGGATTAAAGGAATGTAGGTTATATATTGGGAGAGCGAATATTACACGTTTATTATATTTTATTAAATTGAGTTCTGTATTCAATCTATATCTTACAATAAGTCTGTTACAAGATAAAGATGTTAAGTGTCTATTGTATGTTATGCTTTCGTAAAATCCTTCTTTGCCTTCTAACGAGGATCATCCTTTAAATCCATTCTTACACCAACTCCCGCAACAGTTCCCACGGTATGATAAAATTATTCAAGAGAAATTTACAAACTGTGTAGTAATTTCATTGTGAAAATTAAATAATTGACGCTAATTGTTCAGGAAATGTAGTAGTAATCGGTGCCGGGTAATCATACGGTCATCGGAATGTGATAATCGGCTAAAGGTAGTATCGTAATTCACGTGGTGTCGATCGGATCGATCGAATTTTGTCAGGAGACAAAATTTCCCGTGACAATACCACACCAACAATCGACTACAATTCATGACTCAATTATAACCGCTGAATATAATATCACATGTAATATTGACGGTCGGCCTGCATTATACAGGTGAGAAACCACCGGCCAGCACTAATCCGCACAAATTCAATTGCTTATGGTGGTCTTCCAGAGCTATTTCCGGTCCCGATTCTTTAATAATGCACAAAATTACAACTAATGTAACCTGTATTCATCAGATAAAACTCATTCAGACTGAATAAATTCAATAAAACATCATTAAATAGCGAATTAGAAAGGAATCAGAATAATGGCATTAAAAAAAAAAAATTAGCCAGCAATAAATTACAAATAAGATATATGGAAAGGTTATAAAATATATGATCTATATGGTAAAATTTCTGATTATGCAATATTCATGACTCTTGTATATTTGTTTTTTTATAAAGTTTAAAATTTTTAGTTCGCTATGACCAGAGTTCATTATAACCCTACATGCATATATAAACTATATTTATTTACTACAATTTTAATAAATGAAGTGTTATACATATATACAGTAAATCAAATGTTCGTCCAGCGTTATGTGATCTATTTGTTCTATTTGTATTACAATACTCCGTTGTTAGCAACGGGTCGAAACACCTAGTCATATATTATTAAATTCATATTTAAAATTTTAAGAATTGGCAGCGTAAAGCGACAGGTGCACACTAGTATATAATAAAATATTATTTCACATGAAATACATACGAATCACAGAACTGGATAATAGAAAAATGCCACAGCCATTATCAAGTAAGTCGCTATTAACAATATGCCTTCTAACCAATTTGATTTCCCGTCTAAAAGTATAAATTAATAATAAAGCAAAATATTCAAACCTGTATTAACGATACAATAAACAATACTTACCCTATGTTAAAGAATCATTTTAGATTAATTGACCTTATTACATTAATTTAAAGTTTTTTTAAAAAAAAAAAATTTTTTCTAATGAAACGCACCTGAACTAAGTAATTTATGAGTATAATTGCAATTAATAAACAAATGGTTTCAAATGTTAAAAAAAACATAGACATAGGTTGTTTAATAATCCATCCTAAAATCACTAAGAGTGGGACATTAAATATCGCGACATGCTATGTTTATTTGAAAAAAATTAAAAAAGTTAAAAAAAAAAATCAAACATTAAATAATTGTTATATTATTATATACTTACAGTTGAACTTCCAAAAGAATCATTAATGGCTAAATCCATTTTATCATTAATTGCATTAATAACGGAGGTCGTACACTATTACAATCCAAACATGTAAATACTTATAAAAAAAGCAAATGTTTGATGAAAAAGTTAATATTCTTTATACCTTAGCATTATTACTAGCCATAGGTAGCAAAATCAACCCAAGAAAAGTTCTGCTTATACCAAGAGAACTAACAACTCCATCAATTGATTTTACGAGAAATTCGGCTGAAAAAGCAATAATCACTATCATTACAATTAACAAAACTAATGATGATATCATGCTTATATGTGTTTCATTTCTTCTTATTTCTTTTTCTCTTTCCTTTTCTTTTTCAATTAGTTTTGAATATAGTTTTTTATGTGTTTTTAACTATATAAATAAAAATAATTATAAAAACATTCGAGTACGATGGTAAAATAAAATTTCGGATTACCTTAAAACATAAATAGAGTACATATATAATCAACAACACTATTGATGCTCCATAACTCATATATAAGAGATTATCATCAATTTTGCCAGAATCTTTGTTGATAAAAAGGCTGAATGCAGCAGGTAAAGCTAGAGTGATAAACGCCACTGTCATTAAACTAGAACTCATTTGTGCAACAGTTGGATCAAAGCTTTGTTCAAGCTTTTTCTTTCTAAGAATATTAATTCCGCCAAAGAAGAAACAAAATCCTAATACAAGTAGAATATTTAAAAATATAGACCCTAGCACTGTAGCTTGGACAACGCGAATTTGACCATCCACCAATGCCCATATAGTTATTATTAATTCTACCAAATTGTTAAATGTTATGTTCAATAGGCCTCCTAAAGTCTTTATTAATATTAATATTTAGAGTAATGAAAATAGTGATTATCCGGAAGCTTACTATTATAGTATTTGCCAAATAACTCGAGTTATTTGGCTGTGATTACGTCATCTGCAAATAACTTCGTTATTTGGCAGCTTACATGATCACTACCAAAAAAACTCGAGTCATTTGGCAAGCACAGTCGTGTAAACCACCGAATAACACCGTTATTGTATGCTATGCAGCCAATAACTTATTTATCTGGCAACGAATTTAATATGTGTCATTTCTGGGCCCTTTCGAGGCCCAGAAGCTGCTGACATATCAAATTTCACAGCCAGATAATACAAATAATTTTCGTTATTGGCTGCTTCGCATCCAATAACTATATAATCATATTTAATAACAATACCTCATATTCATTGAAATTATATGAAAGTTCTTTACTCGCAAATTCAAGCAATTTAGACAATGGCATAATTGCTAGATAGTTCATTACAAAAACTAGTATAACATTCGATTTAAGAAAATACGCTATATACCCTATAGGAACAAGAAACAACATTATATTGTATTTAGATGAGAAAATGATTCTTTCAAAAGTTTGTATCAATTGTAATTTTCGAGTACGTTGGCACATTTTTGTTACCTTTCAAAAATCGATTGTAGTTACTTGTTCTTATTTATAGTAATTATATAAATTAATAAATTATCACAAAAACAAGATAGAATGCAGGAATTATACATAGCATAATAAAAACAAAGAAATATGCATGCAGTTGATCGAAATTAGTCAGTCATATGCATACCGGAGTTTTGAAATGTAGAAATGGAGGCGGTTTTTTTCGCCTTTCTCTTATAAGTACGTATTGGGTTGGTCAAGAAAAAATTCAAGCTAAACATTAGAGAACTAACAATACTCTTACGTATTATTTCTGCCTTTGTTCAAGCAGCTTGATCAATGAATATCTGTATCAAGATATGTATGCTACGCCCACATCACCAGCGGCAAAAATTATACGATGTTATTTAATCAAGTTCGTTTTATATACATTGTCGTGTTTTTTATTATTATTATTATTATTAATTAACGTTAGAAACAAAAAAATAAAAATACAAAATCTATTCTCATAATAATAATTTGCTATTTCTACCATAACTTTGTAGATCATGGCCAGAATTAAGATAGGTAAGTTTTATATTATTAGTTATTTCCCAAAGTGAAAATAGCAGATTACCTACGGTGAAAGTAGTGGTTTTCTAAAAATAATAATATTTTATTACTGTTACAGGAAGACATAAGAGTTAGAATAAATAGACAAACAAAAACCTATTGACCTATTGATGAAAAAAATGCAACATTATTGATAGAAACATGATAAAAATGAAATATTTGTTGTATCTTTTTTGACAAATATCGCGTTCATCGGTAAAAAAAAAGGATCAGTAAAAGAAGACATGGATAGAAAAAAAAAGAGAGAAAACAAAGAAATGTAAAAAGAAAAATACTTAAAACAACGAACATTAGTAAATGTGAAAGAACGTATTATAATCAGAAGCATCGCGTTGTTTATTGATGATAATTTTGCACTGGTCAATAGCATACATTACGTTACAACACGGCGTAATCTGTTACAGATCTTCAAGATCAACGCCGTCGCACTAAAACCAGGAACGTACGTACGTACGTAAGTCAACGATCTTACTACGTATAACAAGAGTAAATAGACTCCATCAGTGCTTCTATTTATGTTCATCAAAATCATTCATGTTAACAGATTTTTGATAATATTAAGTGCTTTATATTTTGATCTATTAATCAATAGTATAATCCTACCTTATTTGTTCTAGTAGTATGACACACTTCTTTTTTGATTAAGGTATCGTGTTGATTGCAATAGGAAATATTAAATATTCCAATAGTATTTTTAATCTCTACCAAGTTTTAGTAATATTAGAATATCTTGTAATCTTTTTTTTTTTTTTTTTTGATGCCATTTTTGTATTCATAGCAATTATGACCGTACCAGTACGTATTCGAATTTTTTGAATTTATCTTTTTTTGACTTAAATTTTGATAAGAATTACGATATTGTATATTTCTTTAGATAATACATTTTCCTGCGGTTTTCTGATAATAAATTAATGCTTTGCGTTTGTTCACATTTTCCATTGACTCCGATCCATGCATGTGACAATAATTAATATTGTTTCTTCAACATGGCTCATAATTTTCGAAGGCCTTAGGCTTATCCTTTGTGAATCGGATTTCATTTTGATAACAAAAATGTTTTACCACAAAATCCCGAAATACAGATTCCCCATTAGTTATAATGTTGGCCAATTTTAATTGGTATTTTGTTCTTTTGGGAAAATGGTTTTCGGGATTTTGTGTTAGAACCTACAAAAAATATGATTCATTAAAGTTCTCACCTCTGTTGATTTATGATAAATAAATATCTTGCGTTTACCTTTTAACTCTGATACCATGATAAAATTCAGACAAATTTTTTTTTTTTTAAATGAAATCTAACGAAATCTCATCTTTTGCATACATGAAAAAACTGATTATGTTTTTGACTAATGGCGAATAAGAATAATTAGTGATTCCACAGTTATCAGAAATCGTCATCAAGAGGTTACTGAAACTAACGGCACGAATAATTAGCGATTCCACAGTTATCAGAAATCGTCATCAAAAGGTTACTGAAAGTGAATCGTTACATGCTAAAAGTATTTTTGATGATGCCACAATTTATCCGGCATACCCATATGATCATGAAAAATTTCTTTTTACGATGTAATTATGTTTATTCTAGTATTCAAATTAAAACTCAGCGAGCGACTCCCTACCAATAATTATCATAAATTGCCGGATAACATCATTATTGGGCAAATTGTCGAATACGATAATTTGACAAATGATTGGCTACGCGTGCCGCTTTGCGGCACGTACTCATTTGCCAAATTACGTTATTCGACAATTTTTGCCTAATAATGTATACTTCATCATTCAACAGAAGCAACTATATTTAGATATGATTTTCAATCATAATCTATCATTATCAAAAACACGCAACTAGGATATGCAGTTTTTAAGTTCTGGAGTTACCAAGAATGTAGATCAGCCATTCGATTACTACATCCTCATGATCTTTGCATATCTACTTACATACGTACGTACATAGTCCTAATTAGTATGCTAGATTTGTAACGAGAACGATAAACCAGAACAGGAGTAACGTAATACGATCAAAATAACTTTAAAATTTTCATACGTGCATTTTGTATTTTGTTTTACTGTTTTTAACCGGCCATTTAAAGGTCTATTTATTTAAAGTTTCCTTATTTAATATGACTAATTTTTATATCTGAAACGTTGTGATTAGACATTTTGGAAATAACCCTCCTGTATTACGTATAGTGATGTGCCGCGTACAGTACTGTACGTACTGTATGCTAAAATTTTTGCCAATCACTTGTTCCTGCCAATTATATGCCAGAAAAGAACTGTGCGTACCGTACGCTAAAATTTTTCAGGTATCATATAACTGATAAATGACACATCACTAATTACGTACGAACGTCCGGTCTTGTTAATGATCTGCAATAAATGCAATAATCATAAACCATCGACTGCAAGAACAACGTTAAGAAATAAATATGAAACGAATAATAATGCAAAACAATTTTGCAATGGGGCCGATTTTGGTTTGTTTGAGTAATATAAAAGTGTGGTATCTCACATAGTATATTCTGCGTCAATCATTAAATTCGTTAATTCTCAATCAACATGTGTTACTTTTCAATCCCTACCGAATGAATAATAACTTAAGTGGATTTTTAATGTAATTAGTTATTAAATTACAGCGTTTTGCAAAAAAGAGGTGACCCCATGATTTTTGTGACGATGAACAAGGAAGATTTCTGAGATTCTAAATTGTCTATTAATTCATATTTTCAATCAGTTATATTTATAGTTATTAGAAATTGGTAAGATTCTTAAAATCTACAGAATCTCAGATTTTCACACGACTTTGTAATCTGCAGCGGTCACATCTTTTTGCAAAGCACGATAATCAAGCCTACCGAATAATTAATTGATTGTGAAGGTAATTAATTGCAATTATTTAATTGATTGGTGGCGCAGCCATATTTAAACAGTTAATTGCATTTTTGACGCAATGTGATAACTTGCTGATCTTGACGTCAAAATTACAGGCAAAAAAAAGTTTATTATATATGATTTTTAATAAAAAAAAAAGCTTATACGATTAGATAAATAAAAAAAAACTTCTATGATTAGATAAAAAAAAGCTTATACGATTAGATAAATAAAAAAACTTCTATGATTAGATAAAAAAAAAAGCTTTTATGATAAGATTAATAAAAAAAAAGCTTTTATGATTAGATTAATAAAAAAAAAAAAGCTTATACAATTAAAAAAAAAAAAGTGTACAGAGAAATTGAGCAATTAAGCAGTTTTTTTTAACGGCATTGTTAAATCACACCACTGGTGTTTAACACCACAATAAGTTTTATTATAAGCTGCAGTGTAACATAAAGATCAGGTGTAATGTAGATTTTTTATTTTTTTTTTTAAAAAAAAAGAGTATAGCTCAAAATTTCATCTATGAAACCACCTTTTGAGTTCTAACAAAAAAAATTCCTTGCAAAATT